TATATACAGTGCTGTGAGAGCAACTGAAGACAAATTTGTGATATAGCGTGATGAAATCAAGACTGTACATGTAGCACATGTCAAAACAGCATTATGCAAAATTGGACTGTTGGGCACCTTTAACGCACAGTATAGAGATACAGCTGAAGAGTTAGAAAAATTTTGAATTCATTTTTTACCTCATTTGCTCCTGATTCTTTCAATCTGCTCTGTGTCACTTGTAAATGCTGCACATCACTTACTAGCTGAGATATCTGTTAGGAATAATTATCATAAAATAAATTCAATTTTTGATGAAAAATATTGACATTTTACGCTCAGTACCCTCTGTTACACCCTTGAGTGGAACCCTCAGGGGTTCAGAAGAAGAGGCCGCCCAAAGCAATCCTGGAGGCAAAGTGTGCAAGACGAGCTTGCCAAGAAGAATATCTCTTGGATAGAGGCAAAGAGAACTGCCAAAAATAGAGTCAGGTGGAGNCAAGAAATACTGATAATGGAGAGTAGAAACGACAGGAGTGTGGAGTCAGCTGGGGATAGGTAAGGAAGAAAACAAAAGACAGGCAGCCATGGCAGTCTCTTATCATGTCCTTATGCACCCAGAGGAACAAGGGGACGTGAGTGAAAGTGAGCGCTATGATCACAAACAAGCAGCTTGTTTGACACTTAAGATACTACATGTAAAACAAGACAGCATGGTGAAAATATAAAGTCTACTATAGACTAATAGTTATGACTACACTGCCAAATATATCAACATTTGTTGTAATCTTACCATGCTTGGCCTTCCTGAGTCACTTGCATTCTGAAATAAAATCATAACACAAAGATACAAATAATTTATAAGCAAGTGATTCTGACAGAGAGTTGAAAGTTAGCTGAAGTCCATTTAAAAGACATGCAGAAGTTGAACAAACCTGTAATGCACTTTGTGCAGCAACAAGCTCTTCCCGCAGAGATTCAACTTGTCTTTCAGCACTCAGTGCTCTCTGTAGGAAAAAAACAAAGATACTAGAGCATTTTTTTCAGGCATATTTTATTTCCTTTTCCACAATGTGAGATACAAACACATCAAGCAAATCATGCTTATTCAAGTAGCTGTCCATGTGTGAAGTAGACCACAGGCACAAAATAAATTATCATTAACAGTAACTGTTTCTCTGAAGGCCACAAAAATGTGAGAAGAAAAGAGGTATAGGTGTGAGGAAAGAAAAAGAGGTATGAGGCATACTTTCAAGTTGCCAACCAAATGTAATCACTGACAATAGGCTGTGTAAGAGTTTTGTTGCACTACATGTAAATTAATTATTGTCAATGATGTTTACCTGATTTGCTCTCTCTACATCGGCTTCCAGTATTTCAATTTCTGAAGACCTTCAAGTTGTAAACAGAGGAGAGAACTGACCTTATCAGTAAAACACGACCACATGGAAACTAAAACGTTATTGTAAAGGATCTGCTGTAGTTTAGTTAGTTGGTTAAGTTTAATATTTTAGTTAGTTAGTTTTAATTAATATTTATTCACAAAAGTACATTTTTACATTGATTTCTTATTTTGCTTTCTTGGCACACCTGTAAACAAGCTGCTGCATCCTGTAGACTCTGCTTATAGCTACAATGTAAGTGTGTGACCAAGTAAAATAAACCATGTCTATGTCTAATATGTTTAGGTAGTAGTTACAGTAAACACCTTGCAGCTGTTACTTCATCAAACTTGGCCTTCACATCAAATAGATCTGACTGTGCACTGTCCAGGGCTAATAAAAGACCAAAGTAAAAAATCATTAGCTATCATTGTAGACTAGACATGTGGGCAAAAGACTGGCGGTGAATACATGTAATACATGGGCTACAGTCATGTAGCTCTTCGCGCACATAATTTGTCTGCCTATAAGTTAGCCAAACAATAGCCACGGCCATTTCTGAGGCAACTTTTGCCTAATTTGTTTCAAAAGAGTCCTGAGGGGAAACTTTTCATTATCATTACGAAAATGACTTTGATTTCAATTCAAATAAAACCTGCACATGCAACTCCCCACAGAGATGAGAACAGAGAGGACAGTCTAACTTTAATTTTCGCAACAACTGGCCGAGTGACCCTTTATTGCATTATTCAACAGAGCACAAAGAGAGGGGACGAGGTGAGGTAAGAAAGAGGCACAGTCGACTTGAGAATTGATTTGTCTGGTGATAAGGTGGTTAGTGTGGGATCAACTGTTCCTGGTTTAGACCCTGCGTTTAGAGCTGATGTATTGTGTTTCTTAGGAAGACAATTTCCTCTCACAGTGCCTCAATCCCTCTCTAACCAGGTGTACCTATGTGTACCAGCATCTGGTATTTATCAACTGCTAGAGTTACATGTATGTGACAAAATAATGCACTTAAAGTAACTGGCAACTAATGGACTGATGCCACTTCTAGGAGAAGTAAGAGGGTTCACGACACAGTACCTAGATTATTGTTGGTTTCAGAAACTTTTGAACAGATGTGATCTCAAAATCTCAGAATCCTTTGCATAATGACTCATGAAGTCTCATAATTCTGTCTCAGACTCTAAAATTGTTTAGTTCTCAAAAGAAATCAGAATTTCAAACAAGGGTTTCAGTGTCTCTCTCTTTCCTTTTTGTTCAGTTTTGGTGTCTGGGCAAGTTGTGGAGTTCGCCTTTCATCATCACCTACAAAGGTTCGTGACTTTGTAAAATGCACTTGCCAGCTTAAAGACTTTGAAGTAAGCAAGTTTGATTCAAGGAGAGAGTTCAGTAGGAACATTGGGGTTTCACCCTTGATGACCTAGTACATACCAGCTTGAAGGGTTGCAGCTTTGTGCTCTGCTTCACCAAGCTTTTTAGCAACAGAAACCTGAGTTTCCTGCAGTGTTCTCTCTTTGTCAGAAAACATCTTCTGCATGTCTTTCTCCTTGTCCTTCACTCTTGCCTGTGTGAAACATTTAACAACTTACAACTGGTTTTTGCAAAAAAAAACCTGGAGCTACATATGTACATGTATGAATGAGATGTTCAAATGTACTGCATGTGGTAGGGAGCTCAAACAAGCCATAATGGCAACAGAAATGAGAATGACACCAAAAAAAACCAACTGATTAGCAGCACAATTGCTTTGCACAGCTTTATAAATCTTATTACATTTTCTAAGCATCCTTTGCAAAACAGCAATGTGAAATGACCAATTTCTGATTTTTCCAAGAATGTTAACCATAATGACTAATTTTTTGTATTTCCATTTGGAATTGATTGCTAGCATTACATAAATTGTTTAGTTTGAGCTACAGGTGACTAAGTTTACCGATCAGCATACTGCACAGATCTGAACAATTACGAAGTTCAAATACAAAATACGAATCCTTCTTTTATTAGGTGTGACAGACATCCTTTGGATTGCTGATTGCCTTTGTCTTAACTTCATATGTAGTTCCCTACATACACGTGTTTGTTACATGTATGAGAGAGGTCCTTTAGCTTGCAAATGTTCAAAGTAATATCCACTTGTTTGTATTAAAATACCTGAACTCTGTCTTCCATCTTGTCTTCATACTCTCTCAGTTTCTCTTTTAGTCTACTGATGGTCACCTCTGTAATAAAGGGGAATTCAAAGCAGACAAAAACATAAAATATAAATGGTTCCTAAATGTTACAACATGACATAAAATTGCAGAATAATTCTTTTTTTTTTCTTGTCTTTGAGCTTGAACCATGTTATGTTGACGTGAAATTGAAAGACGATACTTAAACTTAGGTGAATTAAAAAATACAGTAACTTGCATTGGGTAACACTGAACATGTACATTATTATCAAGGAGGGAGGTACGGTTCACTGGAGCCCTAGCCACGGGTTCATTAATTCAGACAGTTAAATATGTATACAATGAATTTGCAATAAAATTACTAACAGCCAACATACTATAATTATACCTTGATTTTTAACCTCAGCAAATTCAGTGTTGTATTCTTCTAAGGTTTCTTTTAGTTGCTTATTTTCAATTTCATAGTCCTGCAATCAGAACTGGTGATGTTAGACATACCATATCTCATATTAGAAAAGAAGACAGAAATAATTTTTATTACACATTTTGTACCAGTTTTATCAATTTCACTGGAATTCAAATTAATTTCACCTGTAGTTTGGAAACTTTCTGCTGCTGAACAACAGCCTGTTCAAGAACTGGTAATGGATCTGAAACATAGGCATTGATCTAATGACAATGTGATAAGTCTTACAAATAGTAATCAAAAATAAAAAAATAATGTAAAGATATCATATATAACAAACAACCTAGACACATCAACAATATAAAATCCCTTTACTATAAAACTGTATTATATTTGTCCAATGTTGATGCATGCTGTTGACCCAAATAATCATTGTTACCAGTAACAACTTCGTAATATTCCTTTTGAATTATCATGTTTTTTTAATTGATACAACCTAATAGTATAGTTTATGATTATTATAAACAACACCATGTCCAGACTCACACCATACCTGGAACATCCACAAGTTTCTTATAAATTGAAAGAAAAGCGGTTTCTGATGCCTTGCTTCTTTTTGAAAGAGCATCAATCTGCAAGACAAATTTATGTACATATTTTTTCTTTTTTTAAAAAAAAGTCCCAGCTCGGCTGTTACATTTAATTATGCCATTCACAGGAAATCAATACATGTATGTATGTGGAGAAATGTACATACTTTTAGAAGCACTTGATGACTTGCTTCATGTTTCAGACAGGCTGGTGAAAAGCCTTGTAGGATCTTATCTTACTGTGAGTATTAACCCACCTTGGATAAAATTGTGCATATACATACATGTACAAAATGCATTTCTTACTCACAAAGTCCTGACGAGCAGGGATAACTTTTATTTCATAATCGGGTCAAAATACAAGCATACTTCAACTGCTTACAAAAAGGTGGTATTTATACAGATGTGCCTCTGTTCATAGAATTACTTTGTTTTATCAGACAAGTATTATTATGAACTGAATTGACTTTGCAAAGTTCCTTCAATATTATTATTCATAGCAGTAGCAAAATTTGAGATAAAACACCAAGTTGTTCAAAGGGTGGATAATGCTATCTAGTGGATAAATCACTATCCAGTGGATAGGTGTCTACACACATCCACTGGATAGTGACTTATCAGTAGGGGTGTAATGATTCATATTCCTTGCGATTCGATTCAATTTCGATTATTGCAGTTTGACTTCGATCATTTCAATTCGATTATGCAAAATATTAATGTTTTTTTAATTCTTACAACATGATACCTACATGTAATGTAAACATCATACAACCCTAAAGCCTCAATTTTAGGATACAACGAGCGTGTTGCACATGGTTTGCCTTATTTGGAAATTCTTAAGGGGTGGTAGAAGGGCAACATTTTTACCACGCAACACAAAATGGCATAGGAACTGCAAATGTCTTTACTCGTCAATCAAGTTCTGGATTCAGATTTCACAGTATAATAACTCACTGAGGGCACTCTGAAAAAGGTATGCAAAAAGTCAAACCAAAATCGAAATGTGGAATCAAAGAATCGGGAATCGAACCGAATGGTCATAATCATGATTAATCGAGAATTCGATTAATCGTTCAGTGCTTTCAGTATGACCTGGCTCCTGCCGGAGCTCTGGCGGGTACTCTCTTGCGAATTGCCAGCTGTATTCCTGCATTAATGTTCTTATGGAGTCAAATAAAAAGGAACTAGCAATTCACCCTTTTAAATGGTAAGTTATTATTGGAAAGTTAATAAAAACGTTGAAAAAAAAAAACAACCAAATAGTTAATTTATACACTACCCTGTAATTTTACCACTTTAAAAGCCACAAGTAGTTGTTTTTCATTTGCGTATCAAACATAACGTTGTCGTAAACACCATCGTCACTAAAGGTCACACTCCAGCACACATTACATGATGTACCTTGAGTTTTAAGAAGCCTCGTTTCCATGCATCGTCAGTTCCACAATGAAGCGGCAGCAGTCCATGCTGTTGTTTCTGCCTGCTTCTAGTTCAACTTCAAAAAGCTCACGGACGCAATCAGGCAAGTCTTTAATATGGTGTAAGAAGTTAACATCAAGCCAAGTCTTTATATGTATTGTGAATGACTTTGGTTTTTAAAAGGTCTTGACTTCAGTACGTAACTTAATTTTCTGAACAGTTTGTTTTTGTTCGTTCGTTTTCGTTCGTCTTAGTTCTTTTGCATGAACATAAACACGACCACATAAGGTTTTAATGTAGTATTTCTTGAGTCTTCTGACAAACACACAGTGTGACAGTTGTATATACACAACTGAAAATAGTGTATAATATACATGACTGCCTAGAACTATGCAATAAAATATATTTTTCTGATAAAAATAATGAATGCTTGGGTGTTAATATTTTGCCCCAAATCACCGGAAATCATGTTTCTGAGCTTCCCGATTTCAAAAATTTTCTGGGGGGTATGCCCACATACCCCCCCCAGAGGACAAGGGGCCTTTGGCCCCTTTTATCAGCTCTGGCGGGTGCTAACAAAAGGGAGACACCTACTTCAAATCTTACTGAAAGCACTGATCATTACACCACTACTTATCAGGTGGATAGCATTATCCACCCTTTGAACAACTTGGTTTTTTAATCTCAAATTTTATCTCAAATCAACTGGGGCCTAATGAGTAATTTAAGTAGTTATATTGTGTTGAAATCCGAGAGAAAAGAAGCCCATTCAAGAACAACTGCCAAATGACATTGGGCATAAATGGTCCAATAACACCAGGCATGATGCATTAACTTTCCAATAGCACAGGCATGATGAGTAAGCTGCCCAATAAAATGCAATAAATGATCACATTGGGCCATGTAATAACCAATCAGATTTAAGAATTTTGTCATTTTACAACAGCTACAAGTATGATCAAGCTACAAACAATTATAATAACCTCAGCTTGGAAACTTTTTAAAAGAGGTGCCATCTTTTTCCTGATTTCCTGCAAGGAACAAAAAGGAAACAAACAAAAATTAAGCAAATTCAATCCCAGCTCAGTTAGGTACACAAATTTCCACCATCACAGGTACCTTGCGAAGTAGAATTTATTGTGTGACATGTGTCAATACCTACATGTAGTTGTAGGTGACCAATGAAATGACATTTCAAGATGTACTTTTCCTGTTTACAGGTATCACACTATCTCAAGTGCTATAAGTGTCAATATTTCGCATTACTGAATAAATAAACATAACTATTTATTATAAAGTTGACAGTTACTTGTGAAAAAAGTTGTTTTCTCATTCAATGTTTCTCATTAGCTTACTTCTGGAGTATTCTTTTTAAAATCACGGCTAAGTTCGACAAGCTTCTTCCTTGAAGTATCTGATTCATCTTGGCGATCTGCTAGTTCTGCTGCGGTCGTGTCTAATGATTTCTAAGGACAAGGGAGAAATACATGAAGCGATACTTTAAGGACAACGTCACACAAGTCAAATGTAAAATGCAAACCATGACAAACTAAAATAAACGTACACAATGTTTTGTCAACATTTACAACACACTTGAAGGACTAAAATAAATAAAATATTCTACTTCTGGGGTGATCTTACCTGGAGTTCTGGAAGGGAAAATTCTTTCCAAAAATTTCGCATAGACTGGAACGACGAAGCCGCCATATTTGTTTATCGCCAACTCGGCGTCATGCGCAATGCGCACTGTGTAAAACGTCCCACAAATAAAAAAAGAGTTGTCATTGGTTTAGAAATCTGACCAATTAGAAAGCGTTTTGCATTTATCCTCTTCATTCGCGGGAAGAAGAAAATATGGCGGCCATGGCGGACTGTTTTCCCAAAAGTCCAGATCCTATCTCTCGGCACCGTTCGCAGTACAAATGCAGCACACCGCCCTGGAAAGAACAGTACAGAAAGGTGACTTTGTCGTCACATTAATTTGTTTATATGCTGTATTTTATATTAATCCTTGGATGCACGTGTTTTCAGTCACCTCTCAATGATACTTTGCGAATAAGTCTTACTGGAAATTTGTCGTTGTAGACTTAAAACTGCTAAACTACAGGAAGCAGGATGATTATTCCCATATTCATTGTAGCGTTTAGTGTTTTAGTCTTTGTTTTGTGCAGTCGTTTAAATGACGTGGATCGAAGTAGATTACTGCAAAATGACTGTACTTTTTAAGCTTATCGCCATTTTGTGAGCCAAGGGGAAACTCACGAACGGGAGGAATCAAAGTGAGAATGACTAGCAGTGTTACCGGCGACCTTTCGCACGACAAATAGGTCCAAATTCGATCCAGGAGCAACTTCAGAATATGCGGCCACACATGCCGTCCTTAAATCTACTGCTCCTGAGGTCCGTGGTCTGCAGTCCCGCAGTCAATGAAAAACAAATGAACTAAGTGTTGAACTTAAGTGCTACCACGGTCCGCAGTCCCGCAGTCGATGAATAAGAAATGAAGTAAGTGTTGAACTGAAGTGCTACCGCGGTCTGCAGTCCCGCAGTCGATGAATAAGAAATGAAGTAAGTGTTGAACTGAAGTGCTACCGCGGTCAGCGGTCCCGCAGTGGACGAAAGAAGGAGGTATATTCGTGGTTTTTTATATACAGTTGTTATGTTAATTATCACAACTGTGGGACTGTGGTAGCAGCATTTGAAAACACACATTTAGTGGCCAGGTATTCTGAAGTTTAGCCTTGATCCAAGCAATTCAGTATCTCAATGCTGGCAGAATTACAACTTCCTTTTAATATCCTCAGCAGGTTACAGAAAGAAGCGTAAAACTAGAAAGTAATACATGACAAAGAAATCTATGAGAAAACGAACCGTTCACGTGTCGGCTTGTCTAGACGAAATACATGAAAATCTTACAAAGGCACAATAAAAACAGAACGAAATTGAGCTGCAAATTACCTTTGTCCAGCGACGAGGGTAATGGACTAGTTGAAATCTAAAGGAATGTAAGGAAAGTGCTCCATTGTAGAACAAAACTAGCAAGACAACTTTGACTGCTTTAACTCTGACGTTCGCATCACGTTTTTGCAAACACATGTGTGTTTTTGGGAATGTCAGGGCT